TGGCCTGGTCTCTCCAAAAGTTCTGTGTTTCAACTCTTGGTTCATGAGAACAATTTTGTCAGACCACCATGCTGTGGAGCAGTTGCTTGCAGAGGGTCTGGAGGAATGTTTGGAAGCAGTGTTTTGGCTTTCTTCACCTTATTTATGTCCCCTTGCTGTGTGGTCCTGGCCCGTGTATGTGTTTTCTCTTCTTATTTGTTCTCCCATTCTTGATTTTTGTCTGTCTTTTCTCCTCCATTTTCTTTTCTAGCCACGCTTTTGTCTTGCGTGTTCTTTTCTCTCGGCTACCATTTTGCTTTGTCCTCTGAATCATTCCAGAACTTGCTTAGCTTGAATGACTGTCTCTGAGAAACATTTCAATCTCCCTGTTTTGTGTACTCTTTGCTCCTTTGTGCCTTATAGCTGGAGAGAGGTAAGAAAGAATGGGACTGAAACATTCTTTCCTTCCTCTTTTATTTAACCAGTATTTGAAAAGCTGCTTTGTGTAAGACATTGTTCCAAGTTCTGGGCTATCTCCACAAACAAAACACCCTAGTTCTTAGTTGGTGAGACAAAGAGATTGTGTATTTATTTATCATTCATTTATTCATTCCCTCATTCAACAAATACTTCTTTTTTTTTTTTTTTAAGTATATATCTAGGAACAATCCGAATAAGAGCTGTAGATTAGAGAATTTTCTTTTTAGGTCAGATTTTTATTTTTATTTTTTCAATTTATTTATTTTAAATTTGAAGGATAATTACTTTACAATATTGTGATTTTTTTTTTTTGCCATACATCAACATGAATTGGCCACAGGTATGCATGTGTCCAGATTTCCCTGATAGCTCAGTTGGTAAAGAATCCGTCTGCAATGCAGGAGACCCCGGTTCAATCCCTGGATTGGAAAGATCCACTGGAGAAGGGAGAGGCTGTCCACTCCAGTATTCTTGGGCTTCCCTTGTGGCTCAGCTGGTAAAGAGTCTACCTGCAATGTGGGAGACCTGGATTCAATCCCTAGGTTGGGAAGATCCCTGGAGAAGGGAAAGGCTACCCATGCCAGTATTCTGGCTTAGAGAATTCCATGGACTATACCCATGGGGTCACAAAGAGTCAGACATGGTTGAGCGACTTTCACTTTCATACTTGTATCCTGGAGAGGGAAATGGCAAAGCACCTCAGTGTTCTTGCCTGGAGGATGTCATGGACAGAGGAACCTGACGAGCTACAGTCCATGGGGTTGCAAAGAGTTGGACACGACTTAAGAACTAAACAACAATACATGTGTCCCTCCTATCCTGAACCCACCTCCTACATCCCTCCCCATCCCATCCCTCTGCGTTGTCCCAGAGAACTGGCTTTGGGCACCCTGCTTCATGCACTGAACTTGTACTAGTCGTCTATTTTACATATGGTAATGTATATGTTTCAGTGCTATTCTCTTCAATTATCCCACCCTCACCTCTCCCACTGAGTCCAAAGTCTGTCCTTTATGTCTGTGTCTCTTTTGCTGCCCTGCATGTAGGATCATCAGTGCCATCTTTCTAAATTCCCTATATGTGCATTAATATACAGCATTTTTCTTTCCCTTTCTGACTTACTTCATTGTGTATAATAAGCTCCAGGTTCATCCACCTGATTTGAACTGACTCAAATGCATTCCTTTTTATAACTGAGTAATAGTTCATTGTGTCTATGTACCACAACTTCCTTATCCATTCATCTGCCAGTGGACAGCTAACAGATAGTTCTTGAGACTTGAATATAGTGATTGACAAAAACAAAAATTCCTACTCTCCTGAACCTCTCTACTTTTTGGTAAGACAGATGTACATTTAGACAATTATACAAATGAACATTAAGTTACACCTGTGTTGAGTCTGATCAAGAAGAGCTCTGGAGTTCGAGACTATATTGGGGGGATTGTTCTCATCAGGAGAGCTGGGAACAGCTTCCTTGAGGAAGTGAAGACTGAACTGAGATCTGAAGGCACAGAAAGAGTTAACTTGGCAAAGACAGCAGAGAAGTGGAAATGGCAGATATGAAAGTCCAGTGCTTAGAAGGGGCTTCTGAAGCATTTGAGGACGTTGAGCGTGCAGAGAGCAGTCCAGGTGAGGATGAATGAGGCTGAAGAGGCAGACTGGGGTCAGACCCAGCAGGCTTTTTACGTCCAGTTAGGGACTTGGATCCTTGTTTTCTGAGCAGTAGGGTGCCTTTGATGTGTGCTAATGCCTCAGTGGTAAAGAAGCCGCCTGCCAATGCAGAAGGCATGGGTTCCATCCCTCGGTTGGCAAGGTCCCCTGAAGAAGGAAATGTTAACACACTCCAGTATTGTTGCCTGGAAAATCACATACTATACAGGGGAGCCTGATGGGCTATAGTGCATGGAGTTGCAAAGAGTCAGACATGATTTAACGACTGAACAATAACAACAACAAACAGGGGAAAGGGGAGAAGAGCATTTTAAAAATCTTTTAAAACACTAGTCTGAAATCTGGGGAGAACAAATGCAGTTGAGCATAGGTATGAGCGGTGAGCAGTGGCTGCGCGGTGCTGGAGCAGCCAGCGGCTGAGAGGAGATACCCCACGTCCAAGGTCAGGAGCAGCGGCCGTGAGGAGATAGCCCACGTCCAAGGTCAGAGAAACCCCAGTAAGACGGTAGGCACTGGAGTGGCTGTGAGGAGATGCCCCACATCCATGGGCAAAGGAGAAGCCCCAATAAGATGGTAAGAGGGGCGAACTCGCGTTTAGAATCAAAGCCCGTTCCCGCCAGAGATGCTCAGAGGGCACAAACAAACCTGTGCGCACCAGGACCCAGGGACCCCACAGAGACTGAGACAGAACTGTGAGCGTCTCCTGGGGAGGTCCGGATCGGCAGTGGTCTGCCGCAGGGACAGGGGCTCTGGGTGTGGGTATGGCATAAGTCCTCTTGGAGGAGGTCGCCATTAACCCCGCCATCGAGCTGCCAGAACTTACACAGGACTGGGAAATACACTCTTGGAAGGCACAACAGAACCTTGTGCACCAGGACCCAGGAGAAAGGAGCAGTGACCCCATAGGAGACTTGCCTGCGGGTGTCGGGGAGCCTCCGGCGAAGGCATGAATCGGTGGTGGCCTGCTGCAGGGTTGGGGGCACAGACTGTAGCGGTGCATACATGGGATCTTTTGAGGGAGGTCGCCATTATCTTCATTACCTTCACCATAGTTTGGCCCAGGTAAATAGCAGGGAGGGAACACAGCTCCACCCATCAACAGAAAATTGGATTAAAGATTTACTGAGCAGGGCCCATCAGAACAAGATCCAGTTTCCCCCTCAGCCAGTCTATCCCATCAGGAAACTTCCATAAGCCTCTTATCCTTCTCCATCAGGGGGCAGACAGGCTGAAAACTACAATCACAGAAAACTAACCAAACTAATCACATGGACCACAGCCTTGTCTAATTCAATGAAACTATGAGCCATGTTGGGCTGTGTAGGGCCACCCAAGATGGACAGGTCATGGTGGAGAGTTCTGACAAAATATGGTCCCCTGGAGAAGGGAATGGCAAACCACTTCAGTATTCTTGNAAAAGCAGACATTATTTTGCCAACAAAGGTCTGTCTAGTCAAGGCTATGGTTTTTCCAGTAGTCATGTATGGATGTGAGAGTTTTACTATAAAGAAAGCTGAGTGCCAAATAATTGATGCTTTTGAACTGTGGTGTTGGAGAAGACTCTTGAGAGTCCCTTGGACTGCAAGGAGATACAAACCACTCCATCCTAAAGGAAATCAGTGCTGAATGTTCATTGGAATGACTGATGCTGAAGCTGAAACTCCAATACTTTGGCCACCTGATGTGAAGAGCTGACTCATTTGACAAGACCCTGATGTTGGGAAAGATGGAAGGCAGGAGGAGAAGGGGAGTACAGAGGATGAGATGGTTGGATGGCATCACCAACTCAATGAACATGAGTTTGAGTCAACTCCAGGAGTTGGTGATGGATGGGGAGGCCTGGTGTATTGCAGTCCATGGAGTTGCAAAGAGTCAGACACAACTCAATGACTGAACTGAACTGATAGGTATGAGTGAAGAAAGGACATGGGAATGGTATTGGGAGGCTAAAGTGGAGGTCCAGTGGAGAGGCAAGGTTGTGGGTTAGCAAGAGTTTTAACTTTTCAAGCCTACCTCACTTCCTTTTTTAAAAAAATATTATTATTTGGCTGCATGACATGCAGAATCTTAAGCTTCGCCAACGAGGGATCAAGCCTGCACCCCTGCAGTTGAAGTGCAGAATTGTAACCTTTGGATTGCCAGGGAAATCCAAATCCCTCTCACCTCCTATTAAATGTATTTATCCAAAAACATTGTTTTTGAAAGTTGACTTACCATAAAGTCAACAAAACTTACATTCATTCAATGAGAAATGAAAGATGATTGAAATAGAAAAGAGTATGAGTAGAATTATACTAGATAGTACAGGAGAAAGATAATGACTGAAATCCAGTATAAAACGTAGCTCTGAGCTCCTCCAAGCCTAAACAGGAAGGGAAATAGTATAGATGTTGTGATTATTGAACAAAAAATAGCATGTGGACTTCCCTGGTGGTCCAGTGGTTGAGAAGTTGCCTGCCAGTACAGCGGGCGACAGGTTTGATCTCTGATCCTGGAAAATTCCATATACCATGGGGCAGCTAAGCCCACGTGCCATCACTACTGAGCCTGCGCACTTAGAGCCTGTGTGCTGCACCAGAGACGCCACCGCAGTGAGAAACCCGGCACCACAGCTAGAGACAGCACAGTCATAAATTTAAAAAAGTAAAAAGAAACTTGCTAGTTCGCAAGAGAAATAATGTTTTCCTTACAAATATTTAAAGTACTTTATTATAGCAGTAACAGTAACCTGGTTAGGTCCAGATTCTTGAAACCCAAACCTCAGATCTTGAGCTGATTACATTAATCTATTTTTGGTAGTAGTCATGTAAGTATTTCAAAAACTAAAAATTTCAGAAATATTCAGAACTGAAACACATATGTGGATTTCTTTTTTTTGTTGTTGTTAGTCTTGTTTATCTCACAAGACCTACAAAAATTATGGGAGAAGTGCTCTATAGCCCTCCGCAAGGGCGGGGGGCGGGGGAGAATGACCCTAACTCTTGGATTTCTTATTTGATACTTTGCTACAGAGGGGAAGTATAAGATAGTAGAAGAAGAAGAGAAATATAGACCAGGTAAGAAACTCAAATTTGACCCATGGGTACTGAGTAAACCCTTAATGTACTTTCTTGAGGACCTTACTATTTGTCTTTTTTTTTTCTTGCTGGCTTCTGTGGACATACTTCTTCATAGAAGGCATCCTTCCTGCCTTGTAAGTTGCATTGTCAAGGACAAAGAATGCCATACACAAAATGGCATTCTTATTTATCAGCTGTAGGCATTCCAGCCAGTAAAAGCTACTTCCAGAATCAAGGACCTCAAAACCAGGATCATTTTTGATTATTTTAATAAAGTCATCCAGAGTTCCCAGTGACAGTATGTGTGACTTCCCTGCCCAGAGTGCTTATTCTCCACACCTTCCTTCCTAGCCACATCCTTGGTCAGCAGTGTCAGCTACACTTCCTACTGTCCTGGTAAAATGTTAGACCCAAAGGCACAGGAGGGTCCCAGTAGAGCCAGAGAAAGCAGTACAATAGAGAATAAGAAGTCAGATAAGTCCAGGTTGTTTGCACCTAAGACCTCAGCTCTTGAGATAACAGACATAATCCATTTTTGGTAGTAGGTCACATTGGTGTAGACTCCAGGAAAAGAAGTACCACATCCTGTTCCCCAGCTTGACAACCCTATCAGGATCCATATACCATCAATATGACATGCCAGAGGCCCTCCAGAATCACCCTGTGGAAGAGAGAAAGGTCATGAGCACAGTGAAGAAGGGCCATGAAGAGGAGAGAGGTCAGCCGGGGTGGAGGTTCCTAACCACGGAGCAGCGAGGCCCGCGGAGCTATAAAACCTGGAAGGGAGCCAGACCTCCTACCACCTGGGGGAGGCACCAGAAACTTGGAATCTTGGAATCTGAAATTGGCAGAAATCTTAGCTAAATATATGAGTGGTTTCAAAATACTTACCTGTGATTAAAAAGAAAGAAAGATTTTGAGTTTTTCACTAAAGTTAAATTCATTGAGGGAACTCCTTATTTTTCTATTTTTAGGTCCTTTTTGCCATTTTTAGTGTTCAAGTAATTTTTCCCTATATAAAATGGTGGTGATAGTGGTTGATAGTCTCTCAGTCTTCCTGTTTTCTTGGTAACAGCTTTATTAAGCTGTAAATTACATACTATATAATTTACTCATTTAAAGTGTACAGTTCAATTTGTATATTCACAGTGTTGTTCTACCATCACCACAACCTTTTTGTGTCACCCCCTAAAGAAACCTTATACACTTTAGCAGTCACCCTTTTCCTCCCATTCCTTCTAGCCCCAGGCCAACCAATTATCTACTTTCTTTCTCCATGGATTTGCATATTATGAACATTTTGCATAAAAGAAACCATATAAAATATGACTTTTTATGTCTCTCTTCGGGTTTCTCTGGTAGCTCAGACAATAAAGCGTCTGTCTGCAATGTGGGAGACCTGGGTTCGATCCCTGGGTCGGGAAGATTCCTCTGGAGAAGGAAATGGCAACCCACTCCAGTACTCTTATCTGGAAAATTCCATAGATGGAGGAGCCTGGTAGGCTACAGTCCATGGGGTCGCAAAGATTCGGACACGACTGAGCAATTTCAACTTCACTGGTTCATTCACTTAGCATACTCTTTTCAAGGTTCATCCATGTTTAGTATGTGTATGTACTCCATTCCTTTTTTATGACTGAATAATATTCCATTATATTGATATACCTTGTTTTTGTTTATCTAGTCATCAGGTGATGGACATTTTAGTTTTTACTTTTTGGCTACTATAAATATTGGTGCAGTGAATATCATGTACAAATTTTTATACGGATGTATGTTTCCATTTTACTTGGGTGTTTACTTTGTAGTGGAATTTCTAAATTATATGGTAAGTCTATGCTTGTGTGTGTGTGTGTAAGTCTATACTTAACCTTTTGAGGTTTTCCAGAATGACTGTACCATTTACATTTTAACTAGGTATATGAAGATTCCAATTCTTTGCCAACCCTTATTATTATCTATCTTGATTATAGTCATCCTAGTGAGTGTGAAGTTGTGTCACTGTACATTGATTGATTTTTTTAATAATGAGTATACAGATAGGAAATTGTGGCAGAGATGTAGAAGAATGTGTGCATGTGTATAAAAGAGAGAGGCAGGGAGGAAGTAAAACCCAAGTGGTGGTTTTAGAACTGAAAAATAAAATATCTGAAATAAAAATCTCACTAGATGAACCTAGCAGAAAAATGTGGATGGCGGGAGAAAGAAGCAATGATTTGGAATATAGGTTAATTTAAAGTATCAAATTTGACAAAACAGAAAAGGGTAAAAATTAGACAAAGAGTATTAGGGACTTGTGTGAAAATATCAAAAGGTATAATTTACAAACTTCTAGTTTTAACTAGAAGAAGAAAAGAAAGATATGAGGCAGAAAAATAGTTGAAGAAATCATGAATGAAAATTTCCCAAATTTTGATGAAAGGTAAAAGAATAGATTAGACAGCATATTAAAAAGCAGAGACATTACTTTGTCAACAAAGGTCCGTCTAGTCAAGGCTATGGTTTTTCCAGTAGTCATGTATGGATGTGAGAGTTGTGGGCTATAAAGAAAGCTGAGCGCTCAAGAATTGATGCTTTTGAACTGTGGTATTGGAGAAGACTCTTGAGAGTCCCTTGGACTGCAAGGAGATTCAACCAGTTCATCCTAAAAAAAATCAGTCCTGGTTGTTCATTGGAAGGACTGATGCTGAAGCTGAAACTCCAGTATTTTGGCCACCTGATGTGAAGAGCTGACTCATTTGAAAAGACCCGGATGCTGGGAAAGATTGAGGGCAGGAGGAGAAGGGGATGACAGAGGATGAGATGGTTAGATGGTATCACTGACTCAATGGACATGAGTTTGTATAAACTCCGGGAGTTGGTGATGGACAGGGCGGCTTGGCTTGCTGCAGTCATGAGGTCGCAAAGAGTCGGACACAACTGAGCAACTGAACTGAACTGAAAAGAGTAGATTAAAACAACAACTCAGTGAATCCCAAATAGGATAAAGACAAAGAAAACCACACCTAGCATATGACATTCAAATTTCTAACAATCCAATATGAATGAAAATATATTGGATGAAGCCAGAGAACAGTACATCACACCCAATGGAGGAAGACACAAATGATTGTTGATTTTTCATCAGACAGTTATGATCAGGAGACAATGGAATGACACATTTTAAGTGTACAATGAAATGTTTTTGCCTTGAAAAAATTAAAAAGTTGATATTTCTATGTTAACCTCTTACTTATGAAAACATATGAGACTATGAAAACCCAAACACCACTAGTTAGCATTACTCTAGATCAATAGTTGAAGAGATTAAATTAATAGATAAAGTTTAAGTGATTTATCCAGATGAAAACAAATAATTTTTGTAAGAATGCTTGTCTCCTGATTCCCAATTCACTGTTGTTTACAGATGGGCAAACCTGGATCCAAATTAAGACGTCATGTTAAAATTAAAATTTTCAAGAGCAAACCCTAACCTGGCAGGTATCCTTCCCTTTGTTAAGATCACCGGCACACACCATGGTTTCCTCGATGACCGGCTGTGCTTGCGGCAAGAAGGGGGCCAGTGGGTTGTATATGTTTTCACATTTCTGGTGTTCAATGATGGGTACTTCTGCTTCCTGGAGTGTGGTAGGGTTATCAGCATCTGTAGAGATAAATAGGAATGAAAGGAAAAGCAACCTGGAACAGTGGGGACAACATTCAGTCATGATATGCAGACATCTTGGAATGGTAATCCAAAAGCAGAATAGTCACTTTCTCATCATGCTGGCTAATGGAACAGTTTTGTGGCATAGTTAATCTAAAACAATGGATAATTCAAAATTCTGTTTGCAATTTTTTGATGTGCCAACTGGGGCATTCTTAAGGTTCTAGATAAAGAGAAATTCTGATATGTTTTGATTAAGTAAAAATGTGAATATTCCAAAGTATTCAAAGAGTTGACACAACACTTTGAAAACAGATTAAATAAGCACTAGATTCTTTCCAAACTTTAAATCAGACTTGTTAACCTCTGTTTCAGAGAGGTAATTATGTATTTAACTTGTTAGTATTAAAAAAAAGTTAAATAAATATATATATAAATTGTTAGTATTTGTTCTTACCAGTAGAGCTGGATTCTAGCCAAAATATGAGTTAATAATCATGTAAATAGGCAGACATTTTATTTGAAAACTTCTGGAGAGTGTCAGTTGGTTGCTCTGGTTTTGTAGACAGTCTTTGCTACAGTATTGAAGTGCCCAGAATATGAATGCCCTGAAGTGGGTACCAGAAGGTGACGTATAAAACAACCCCTTGTTGTGTGCCCTCTCACCTCCTTCTCGCAGTTTTCCCCATCCAGTCACCCAGCAAGAGCCTGGAACTATCAACTGCTTTTTTTTGACATTGGACAAGCAGATGGGCAGGATGGAAGAACTGTAGGTGACTCTAGTGAACAACCGCAGCAGGGCAATGTCCCCACTGGCATTATTGTATGTGGGATGGATGACCATTCGGCTCACATGATGTATCACGCCTTCGCCTAGATTGTTGATATGAATTGACCCCAGCCACACAGTGTATAAGAAAGGAATCCATGTCCTGAGGGGAAGAGAAAGAGAACAAAAGTGGACTGCACTTCTCTGCTTACAGCTGAGTCACAGCAAGCTGCCTTTGTGTGGCTGCGTCTTTGGGGAACAAAGGAGGGTAACAGACTTGGAGTTAACCAGGCTGCTTCCAGCTTGGCATAGGTTTTGTATGTATCCTCTTCTCCTACCCCACCTCCCTGACCACTCTTTCTTTTGTTGTCTACTGTTTCTGTGGTATCCTTTTTTATTCTAATGGCCAGAGTTTTGTTTTACAGTTTTTCTCTCGTTCTTTTCGTCACCTCTGCTGTTCTCCATTGTTTCAGCCATCACAAATATGCTTAGTAGTTATTGTTTTATTTTCAGTTTTGATTTCTGAGCACTAGACCTTTATTTCTGCATAAAAAATTAAAGCAAAATATAACCACCAAGTTTATATATGTGTGTGTATGTGTCTGTGTGTTCATGTAATTTAAAATGTCAAGTAGTTTGATAAGATTTACAAAATAAATGAATGACAGACATTCTCTGCCCTACTGCCCTCAATTCTTGTTATCCAAAGGCAATCACTTTCTTTTTTTGTGTGTGTGTGTGTAATAAAGTTTTACTAAAGTATAAAGGAGATAGAGAAAGCTTCTGACATAGGCATCAGAAGGGGGCAAAAGAGGACCCCCTTTGCTAGTATTAGCAATGGAGTTATATACTTTCCAGTGAATCCAAAGAATGTCTGGAGGCTGCAAAGACCTCACCAGACCCACTCCCATAATTTACATTTTAAGATAACAGAGTTGACCAGAAGGTTTAATCCAAAGATTGTCCTCAAGCAGGATACATCCTTGTAAAGACCAGACCTACTCCCATCATTTATGTTTTAAGATAACAGAATTAGCCAGAGGGTTTAATCCAAAGACTGTCCTCAGGCAGGATACATTATTGTTATATAATCCTAAGGAATGTAGAGGAAAAAAAGTAAAAAAGTTTGTCCTTTCTTCCTCCTTGAATATCCCAGACCTCTCTCTCCTTGGGGACCCCTAGACTTCTTATCAACCTGCCTAGGAAGTGACTCTCTCATTCCCCCCTTTCCTTTTAGGAGAATTATGTTGCCTAGGGAAAAGGGGCGTTGTTCTCATTCCATAACTGCTCCCGAGCTGACAAGGGGCGTTGTCCCTAAATTGGTGAGGCAACATATTCTCCTAATCCTCATAGTGAGGATATCTGATCCAGGGGCTCCAAGTAATAGTTGGAGTAGGCTGTGGCACTCATAGGAGCTCGGACAACTATTTGTAAATTAAAAACTTTTAGACAGTTAGAAAACCCCATTATACAGTTATAGATGTAAGGCAAAATAGTCATTAAACCGAGTTAAAATCAAAATGAAAAGTCACATTATGTCCATAGTTACATCAGTCCATCTTAAGGTTGTTAGATGTCATCAGTTTAAGAAGAGGCATCACATGCGATTGTTGAAGGTATTTGCAGACTTGGAAAAAGTCCTTTCCTTGAAGTGGAGTTGTCCACCATGGGATGCCTTTCACGGATGAAGAAGGGAGTGGTCCACAGACCCAGCAGTTAGACCGATTGTGGAATGCAGCATAGGAGTGAGCCCAGGACAGGAAGGCATTGCCTTGAGGATCAAATGGCAGACTCAGGATTTCTGGAGTCAGCAGAAGTAGGCTCACATAGATTATCAGGCCCATCTTGTCCTGAAGGATCCCGGATGAGCCCCCAAGATGAAAGGTTGTTGCTGAATGATGAGATGCGGGATTCTTGGCCTCTGGAGGAGATGAATTCAATCCGGGGCCAGAGACGAGGCTGGATCACTCAGAGCTTTTGTGTAATAAAGTTTTATTAAAGTATAAAGGAGATAGAGGAAGCTTCTGACATAGGCATCAGAAGGGGGCAAAAGAGGACCCCCAAGGCAATCACTTTCAACTGTTATCTCTTCTAGCATTTTCCCTATATTTTTAAGAAACCCTATATATTGCCATTAATTTTTTTCAATTTTAGAACATTGTGTTCCTATGTACATGGTAAGGATTGAACCAACAATTACAGCCACTTCACCCACTTTCTTTCACCATCTTCCTAATCTATGATAATTTTTTGTCAGATTACTATTTAATATGTATGTTTTGTGACTATGAAAACATTCACCTCCTGGCCATATTTGGTACTGTAATTATATTTCTTATAAAACTTTTTGCTTCTTCTGGAGCTAATAATATGGTCTCACTTGTTTGCATTTTTAGTTTTCTATGTACCTGTCACTAACTCATCAGTTTTCCCCAACTGTCTGCCAAAAGTGTAAATCTCTCAATATGTTGATAGTGTTAGGCATTCTATCGATACTATACTTTTTTTTTTAAGGCCTCTGCCCTATGACTCCAGTCTTGGTACTTTTCTTTATGATTTTCTTGAGGATTCTCTTCTGTGTTGTATTCTGTTTTTTTGTTTTTTATTCTGTGTTTTCCTGTTTTCCCTCCTCCATTTTGGTGAAGCGTATTCCACTATGGCTTCCTGAGAGATTACGCATGAGAGCTGCTGACAGAACTTTGCCGCTTTGTGTATCTGAGAATGTCTTATTTCTATCCCACACTTGTTGGATAGTTTGTAGGTATGGGCAGACTTCTAAGTTGGAATTCCCTCAGCATTTTGAAGTTATTACTTTATTTGAACTTTTTGTTATTGAAAGGTTTGGTTGTTTCATTCTTTATATATGTCATCTATTGTGGCACAACAAATTACCGTAAAGCTTAGAGGCTGAAAACAGCAAACCTTTCACAGTTTCTGCTCGTCAGGAGTCTGGTTCCTTCTGAGCAGGCTCTACTGAAGGTGGTGTGCAGTATCATCTCTAGACTCAACTCAGAGAGGGTCTGTCACGTCTTCATTAGCCGTTGGCCGGAGACATCAGTTTTATATGGGCCTCTTGCTTCACGGCTGCTCGCCACATGGTACCTTGCTTCTCTCACAGATTGTGTTTGTGACCCAAAACAGCTTAAGACAAAACTCCTGACTGGTGTTTAGGAGGTGATTTGGTGATAAGTAAGAAAAATTTCTAATATAGTGACCACTTTCATCATTCTTTTTTTTTTTTTTTTTTTAATCTCTGTGCCTTGTCCTGAGTCCAGGATGACCTAGGTTTCCTTCCACCTGCTTGTCTTGGAACTTGCCTTTGTCTGTTGGTTCATTCATGAATTCATTCAGTTATTTACTGAAAACCTACCTCTGTGTGTCCTAATCACCAGCTGGAACTTACGTTTGTAAGCAGTGTGCTGCTGTGACTATCCACCTATCACTGATGAGGGAGCCCCCACAGATGTGGAAGTTGGAGAACTTCAGGCTGACCTGCCAAGGCCAGCGCATGGCAGCAGCATCCTTGCCACCCACAACACGGCCTGAGTGTACAGGTCGTCCACACACTACAGAAAGAGGAGAGAGAAATGTGAAAGTCTGGTTGTCCTGTTCTTCTGATCCCCATCTTCTCATCATCTCCAAACTCCCATCCATTCCCAGGACCTGAGTCCTCCCTAGCCTCCATTCTCTGTCCTATTCCAGTTCCAAACCCAGCAGTCTTGGACCCAAGTGGAAACCACTCACCTGACTGGAGGGTTTTCTTTTGGAAAGAGGATAGGAAAGACCCTAAAACAAATACACTGTATCATTAATATATAACAACACACATATATAATATATAACAACACCTGTTATATAATGTATAACAACACCTGTTATATATCCAGGTTTTCTGAATAGAAAGGCTTTCTGTGACTTCAATTTCTCAGATTGGTGTTAAAGGCCAAATTTTTATATCTACCTGCTAGTAAAAATCTTCCTAATTACATACTTACGTGACTTTTTAGCAGCATGTATGGAACATAATTTAACTTAACGATTCACCATCTCCTTCAGGAATATCAAGTATGTGAGGTTGTAAATACATTCATGCCTTCAGATGTTTTTAAGGTGTATAAGCTGTTTACTTTTGTCCTGTTTTCTTCAACTGAACTAGCATTTTGCAGTATTTGTGTCTCTTTCTTTTTTGCTACGTATTATCTTTTTGCTACCCTCAGCCAATCCTGCTTTTAAATCACCATGGGCTGGAAAAATAAATGGAACAGTATAATTCCTGAAATCAAGGACAGGCGTTTGTACTTTCAGTTCCATTTGCTTGAATTACTATTTTCCCTGATTTTTTTTAGCCAAATCATCTCGTCCAAGTCTTGGATCCAATAGCTTCTTCTTACAGAAACTTTCCTGATCCACCCTGTTTAAAACATAAAGCCTCTCTGCACTCCAGAGGTCCCTTTCAGGTCACAGTATTTATTGCTTAACCTGCCTCATAATTTACATATTTGCTACAGGCATTGGCTGTAACCCCACCCCCCCTCCCCGAGGGCAGGGGTCTTTATGTTTACCTAGAACGCTGATTTGCTGACCCTGGCACAGAGGGTCCCCTCAGACGTTCTCAGGGCACACCCTTCAGAAGTCACGTCCCTTGTGTGCAGTGTCCTAGTAGTCTATGTGGCAACTTCTTGAGCCAAAAACCCTCTGCCTCCCCCCACCTCCACCTCGGGGGCTCACCCAGCAGGAGGGACAGCAGGAAGGCACAGCCCACAGGACCCATATTTCTCTCGTCAGTGTCCGCACTTCCTGCTCTCTGGACTCAGGCTCCCAGGGTGAGGCCAGCTGGGGAGAAGCCTCAGAAAAGGGCCAGGACCAGCCTCTCCTCCTGGTTGGATCCTCGGCTGCACCCGCTCCTCCTCCTGGGTCCTCACCCTGGCCAGGAGCTGAAGAGAGCAGACTTGAGAAGTGCGGCTGTGGGACCCAGGAGAGGCGCTGGGCTCGAGGTGCCCCCTGCTGTCCAGGCGGACTAAGCGTCTGGGGCTTTTGCCTCTGGGGGTGGGGAAGGGTGAGCGGTGGGCACAGTTGCTGCTGCCCAGGGCAGGTTCGAGGGCTCGGAACCCTGTCTCTAGTAAGGAAATGGAAGAGCAGCGGGATTCTTCACAAGGAAGAATGAAAAAGAGGAAATTAACCCAACACCCGGCAATTTTTTCTAATATTTTTGTGGGGTTTTTTTTTCCCCATCTTCCTTTACAGTGTTAGCCATAGAATGTATTGCAAGTTAGATTTTCTGGGAAATAGACTGTAAGTCAGAGATTTGTGTGCAGGAAGTTTATTGGGAAGGAGTCTTAGGATCAACACCTTGTTGGGGGTAGGGGGGATGGAAACAGGATTGGGCACAGGGAAGTTTGATGTGATGCATTGTCAACAGAGGCCTCGGCCAATCCCACAGATTACTCTGGAGCTCAGATGGCCCTTCAAATACACCCTGAAATGAGACAGGAAGGCTGGATCCTTGAACTTCCAAAGGACTGGGTGCAGGTTGCCTCCTGGAGGGGGCGTTACCTTGGGAGAAAGATATCTCTGGAAGCAACCTTGGAATGGACTCGCCTTTGAGCTGTCAGCGGCCAGCCTTCCTGATTGATAGGAAACTGAAAGCTTCAGTCCTGCCTCTGCCACAGAATTTTTCTCTGTGCCTTTCATGTTTCCTGTCCCCATCATTTATAGGTGCTAAGTGTGCAAAGGCAGAATTTAGTAGTGTTAAAGCATGTTGTTGCTCTCTTATATCTTAAACTTTTATGAATTTTGAAAAAAAAAACCATAATAATTTTTTAAAATACCAGAAAGTATAGCTGTTTTGGTAATTGTTATTCAGTTATAAACAACAGAGACTCGCTTAAACTAGCTTAAACAGTGAGAGATTGTTTTAAAGATATTGTGTGATTTGTATGGAAATACAAAAAACCTCGAATAGCCAAAGTAATCCTGAGAAAGAAGAATGGAACTGGAGGAATCAATCTGCCTGACTTCAGACTCTACTACAAAGCCACAGTCATCAAGACAGTATGGTACTGGCACAAAGACAGAAATATAGATCAATGGAACAGAATAGAAAGCCCAGAGATAA